CGTTTCCGGCTGTCTTAGTGGCCGTGAAAGGTCCTGGGGGCGGGGTACGTTTCGTTTGTCTGAGTTTGTCTGTAGCTGTGACACAGAACTGGTGCTCAATAAATTTTCATTAAATAAATAAATGCTAATAAAATTGTATTCACCAGTCATAACTTTTTAAGAAAGATGTTAAATCCACAAAACAATTTTCTGTAGTATAGGTATCAAAATGTGCCACTAATGAAAATGTCTAAGATTCTTTAAATTTAGACATGTACTATCTACCTTTTCTTCTCAAGATCCTCCTAATCTGCCACACAACACAAAACAAATCAATATCTGCTATTTCATTACATGTTTCAGACTTTAAAAAGTTTTATTGTATCCTTAAATCCATAAAGCCCACAATTTATGCAAATCAAAACTGAAGAGTATCACTACTGAATTTAAAATAATTCACATTCAAATAAAAACTTGAGTATTCAAGTCTTGGTTTATATAAGCTTTGGTATGAAAGGCTCTAAAATCAATTTTGACTAGAAAAGAGAACTGGTATTCTTTCATTTTCTTTCTTCTTTTTTTTTAACTTCAGGTTTTTACCACAGAGTGCACGCACTCACCAGAGAGAGACAGAGAGAGGGAAAGTGAGAAATCTCCCCCCAGGAAGAAAGCCACACTGCAATCCCTTCTCCTCCACTCTCCTCTTAGGATGTTAGGCACACACATGCATGCAGTGTGATATGCAAGCCATTGGGACCAGGACTCGAACCATGGTCAGCCATGTGGAAATCCAGCACCTTAACCACCATGCCACCTGCTGGCCCTCATTTTCTATGTAAATAAATTATGTATTCATATTTATTAAGTTTTTAGCTTAGAAGAAAAAGATAGGTTGCCTTGACTGCTAAAAACACCAAGAGTAATAAAAACAAAAGTGAACCTTTAAAGATGCTCATAAGGGGGACCAGTAGTTGGTGTAATGGCTATGTCGTTGGACTCCTATGTAGTCGACCTCCGTTCGAGTCCCGGTCCTGCTCGCTTAAACTCACACTGGGCGCATGTGTATGCGTGCCCAAGATCCCGAGAGGAGAATGGGGGGAGAAGGGATTCAGTCCTGGCCATCCCCTCTAGGGGGTGATTTCTCACTTTCTGTCTTTCTGGCAAGAGCCCACGGGCCCTAGAGCAAAAACCTCCCCCCACCTTCCAAAAAAAAGAGGCAGAGGTGGGATGGAGGGTGGTGCAGCAGTAGCGAAGCACTAGAGCCTGGCACACAAGAACGCTCCAGGCTTAGATCTGGACGCCTCCCCGAACACGGTGGTCACGGGTGCGCCCACGATCCAGGGCTGGCTGAGAGTGGAGATGGAGTGTGGTGTGAGGACCCTGTTGAGAGTGCCTGTCTTTCTATCTCTGTCTCTTACTCATGGAAGAAATAAACCACTTCAAATTAAAGGGGAGAAAACTTAAATGATGAAACTACAAAATAATGTGTGCTAACTGGTTTTTACATTGGAGACTCTTTGGCTATCCACTAGTTGCAATATTAGGATGGTTCATCTAAACCTTGTAAAATTAAGAGCACAGACTATGTTTTGATTTGGTATTCTATTTCATTAAAAAAACAGATGTTTCATTTCCTGGAAAAGCACCAACATGGAAAACATGATTTCATAACTGTGTCATTTTCATAAACTGAAGTTCACTAAAGCACCAGTGTTATTGCACAAGGTAGAAACGACACGAGCTTGCAGTCAGTGCTGCAGACCGAGTGCAGCAGTGCAGTCTGAAGCAGAGAGCTCTGGTTCAACAGTTCTCTACAACCCACTGCATCTCACCCTAGAGGAGGAATGCTGGCAAGGATCTCGACCACATGCAAAGTGCTCTTAAAGCTGTTGGGCCCTGATATTTTATTCAGCAGTTTGAAATCAATCCACAGCTTTCCTCATTCACCCTCCCACTTGGGGCCAATGCAGGGGCATGAACATCTATTGAGGAAAACCACAAAAAACTTCAGAACAGCTACCACGGTAGGCTTGTTTTTCATGTATTATTTTAAATATCACTTGCTAGATTGTGACTCATCTGTCTTAATAAACGTAGAGGTCATCTCTAGTTTGTTCAAGTTCCAGCCACTTTGAACAACTGATTTTTAAGAACTTTCATAAAGCACAGCACAACCTGAATACGCATGCAGGCAAGGACAGGGTGCTGTTAAGTCATAAACCCGTTTTAGCCTTAATTTTCAACCACTGTTTTTTTTTTGTTTTTTTTTTTTTTTTAATTGGCATCTATGAAACAGTTTCAGCAACTCTGAGTAACCCTATCTGAAGTTACTGTTTGAAGAAAAACCCCGACATTGCACCCATCACACAAAACCCACGGGGGAGCCTAAGAGCAGCCTCCTCCTCCCATTCCCTGAAGTCACTTGATAAAGTTCTCCATGTCCTCTGTCTGCAGTGTTCATTGTTTGAATTTCAAAAGCAATACTCTTAACTAAAAATAGTGAAAACCTACGGAAATGACAAGATTAAGAAAAATGGCTCCTGTCGCCTGCTTCTCTACATATTCTGTATCACCTAGAAATAAATGTTATGACTATTTCTGATAATGTTCAACTTAAGGTTTAAGTTGTAAAACTTTCCTTAGAACTTGTTTCTGTTCATGCTAATATAAAGTGGGGTTCTTATAAAGTAGTCAAGTTGAAATATGACACTTTGAACTCACATGAGATAGGATCTTCATTTTAACTATTTCTTCTACAGGTATCCTAAGATTTCAGTTGATGCGAGTACCTCTATTCAAGAAACTTAAATTATCAATATT